AGCAAGCTCGCGGTCTGGTATACGACCAGCGCAACTGGGTATGATGTTCTCCTCCTATCCCTATCCCCTATTTTCCCCGTTTTCAATTTACCAGCTAACCACTCACTCCCCCACCACGAACAGGTCAGGTAAGAACACAACCTAAGCCCCAACTATCGCGCCCACTCTCACCCAAATCTAACCATCTCCAAATCAACACAGTAACTTCTCCAACGTCGCCTCTCTTCTCTGGCACGCCTACGCCGCTCTCCCCGCCCCCTCCTCCTCCGTCAACTGGGCCGGCTTCTACATCCGCCAGGACAAGTTCCCCGTCCTCGGTGGCGCACCACCCTCCGAAGAAGACAGCAACAAGAAGCCCGTCCTCCTTCTCGGTCCCTTCCAGGGTCGTCCGGCATGCCAGGAGATTCGCTTCGGGCGGGGCGTGTGTGGAACGGCGGCGGAGAAGCGCGAGACGGTCGTTGTGCCGGATGTCGAGAACTTCCCTGGTCATATTGCTTGCGATGCGAGCAGTCGGAGTGAGATTGTGGTGCCGATTTTGAGTAAGGGGGAGGTGAGTACATATCTGTCTATCTGGTGGCTCGTTGAGGTGGATGGATGGATGGCTGATGTTGTATGCATGTGGTGCAGACTGTTGCGATTATCGATATTGATTGTGCGGAGCCCAATGGGTTCGATGATGAGGATAAGAAGTATTTGGAGGAGTTGGCGGCGTTGTTGGCGGAGTGCTGTGATTGGTAATTACTACACAGTAGTATGGTGTGATGTGTGTATAGGTTAGTCGTTGTGGGTATGATGATTTTGGTATGGTTTTATGATATATAGATTGGTTGAGTATTAATGAGATGGTAGTCATGATGGCTTGTATATTCCCAGTGCGAGATTGCATTGTCCCGGGTGTTCTGTTCTTCAATTTCTATCATCGCAACGACTGTGCCAAATGTAACCGTCTAACGCCTGTGCATCGCTGGGGTCTCACGGACCCGAATGTGTCTTCCCAAGATAGTAAAACCAAATATAGCGTCTTAAGTCAAGGCCCGCTATGGCAACCAAACATTTATCCAAAAAGTCTATCAGGCGTCGCTGTATCCCAAATAAAGAAAACGAAAGTGTATGTGTGCCGCTGTTCCATGGAACGAGAAAAAGGATGCGCGTGCGCCAACCAGGGTCGCCCGTGGAATGAACAATATAAAAAGGTGTATCCGAAAAGACGGGAACAATAGAAGAAAACTTAAGCATAACCCCAGAAGAATGGGGTAGACAAGAAAGGGTGGATGGTAACCCGGACCAATGATCGGCTTAGGTGCTGAACATGCTCATTTGCCGCTTCAGAGGACTGATAGATCCGGCATCGCCATCCTCACTGACCCCCAAGCCACTGTCCGTGCCAGTTAACCCGGCATCGGTATCGATATCCCACTCCGTGTCTTCGTCGTCCTCGGTGGCTTCGAGGCCGGCATCCGACGAGCTGTGCCAGCTCTTTTGAACGGCACCGCGTGTATTCCATCGCAGTGCTCGCTGAACGCTCTGGAACCACTCTCCGCTGCCCGCTACGACGGTCGGGAAGGGGTATTGACTTGCTTCGACGGTAACATAGTCGCCTTGGCGGAGTTCCACACGACCCTTCCCATCGAACGAGCAGTACGCGGTCGACCGGGACCCGGCAGGAACGGCAATACGAAGGAGCAGCGTATCGGAGAGAACCATGGGACGGAAGGAGAGTGTATGGGGACAGATGGGGGTCAGAAGAATGCCGGGAATAGAGGGGTGAATCAAGGAACCGCCAGCGGAAAGAGAGTATGCCGTGGAACCTGGAACCACATGTCAGTCGGCGATCAAATCAGTCTATTTTGCGCGTCACACGTACCAGTAGGAGTAGAGAAAATACACCCGTCCGCTTGCACCACGGTGAGCAAATCATTGTCTGCGTACAGTTCAAGGTTTGACACGTAGGGTGACGGCCCGCGATCAATCACGAGCTCGTTCAACACCTCGAACTGTTCCCCTTCCTCCACGGCACCCGCCTCGGCGCCCTTGCTGCGGTCTTTACGGAAGACCGTGCAAGTGAAGCGCATCCGCAAGTTCACTCGCATACCCACATCACCCATGACTGCATTCAAGTGAGACTTGTAATTCTCAAATTCGAAATTCGTCAGGAACCCTAAGCTCCCAAGGGAAAAGCAGAGCACCGGTGGGACAATGCGTTGGAAGAGCCAGGATGTAAAAAGCACGGTCCCATCTCCTCCTAATGTGAGGACCAAATCGAATTTCTCAGGGGCTGTCCAGCAGAGATCGGGGGTCCAGTAGTGTAACATCTCCTCGAATCGGGGCTCCTTGTCCAGAAGCCCCTGGGCATTGAATCTTCGTGAGTTGCGAAGTTTAGCGTCTACGTAGACATTCACACCCAGATCGTTGCCGTAGCGAGGGGTGGAGAGAAGCCACTCCGCCAATTCGCGGGTCAGATGCACCAGACTGTTATCCCGCGCCTTGGTGACAATCATGACATTCTTGACAGCGCGTTTGATTGGTCTTCGCTGCAATTGCTTCGACACCTCTCGGACGCCTGTCGCTGTCTGTACCAGACGGGAGTGCGATAGCCACTCGTCGTCCGCAATCTCTTCCAATACTTTCTGAATATTTACGGCGTCATCGAAACGCTGGTGGAAGAAGCATGGTGATTGCATGACCAACCGTGCTGTCGCAGGAGAACGGTCCAGGTAGGTGCCTAACTGAATATTGGACAGAGCTGCCGAGAGCATCTGTGACGAGGAATTGCTGGAGGTGCGCTCCGTTTCTTCCGACGAGGTAGGGTTCGTGTTGAGAAGCCCCAGAGAGGCCGCCAGCGGCATATTTGAATTTTGGTGATTGCACATGGATGGTCGTGATGCGAGAGCTTTGAGAAGGGTTTGGCGAGGGATTGAATCGTTAGATAACGCGTTCCGATGATGGCCCGCTAGAGAGGCCGTCTGCCGGCGTGGCAGGAAGGACGTCGTGAAAGCGGGAACAGCGGCGCCCTCACGAGGATGATGATCGGATTTCTGGAGAGTGCTGGGACCCAGATTGGGAGTCCCGGGAGCCGAGTCGGCCGTGTGGATATCGTTTGCAGTGTGAGAGGGATCTATGTGCGAGGCATAGTCGCGGAGGAGCGACGCTCCCACAGTGGCCGAGCGATGAGGAGGAGGAGGGCGCACCGGAGGAACTGATAGTGGTGGGGCCGCGGAGGAGGGCGGTGGTGGTGATGAGGGCAATGATGTTGAGGAAGACGGCAGAGGGCCAGTTGCGGACGAGGGAGAATGGTGGTTCATGGAGCCATGGTCAAGCGGGGAGGACGCCATGGACAGATATAGAAATATGACAGATTGTGTGATGCAGGAGCTGGTTGGTTCTGTCAGACGGGAACACAGAAGAGAGAATTTAGGAAAAAATGGGCTTCGATAGGTAATGATGGAATATGCTGGAGACGGAATGGAAAAACGCCGGGGGGGAAAATAATAATAATAATAATGGGGGAGTAACGAACTCGGATGTAACGGGGTTTGGGCGGGCGCCTTATCCAGTGTAATCCACTTCAAGGTTCATGGCGGCCGTGACCATTGGTCAGGCTAAACACTTTCCTCTGGTCGCATCCACTGGCATCGGTAGTCTAGTCTGCTGGTCGAACTTCGATAGGCTTCCACATCCTTAATAATGAGAGTCAGAGCGGGTGACTGTCATCATTGAAGCCGGGGGGATTCCAGTGCGGGTGGTAGTTAACTCCGCAACAGACACTCCGCGGGCCTGAGAAACCATTGAATGTACCGTAAAGTCCCTACTACCCAATTAGTAAACTCACCCAAATTTCAAAAGGCCATGGAACACGCACCGAATAAAAGAGACAGTAGTAAGTAGCTGTCGGAAATGACGTGGGTGATTTCCGAGGCTGACGGAAAAAGTAATGTGGGAATTCGTGGTGAAGCGTACAGTCAGTCAATCAAAAAGGTAGTTAGGGGGGGATGGAGATGGAGAGAGGATGCATGGTCAGTCCTACTGGAGTTAGTCTAGTGGGTGTAAAGTATGCACCTGCTCTCGCCCGTATTGTCATGATTATTTACATGATTATTTACCGGCTGAATTCATCCCTCCCATCCCATCCCTTCCCTTTCTTGTTCCACCCACCCCCATTACCTGAAGAGGCCGATCACACATATCACACACATTGAAGAACCTTCCCTTCCCTTTCCCAGGTGCAAGGGAGCATCATACTGTGCAATGTACTTGCGGCATCTGATTGATCCATCAGATTCTTTCAGCTACTACTCTATTCCATTCAGCTGTGCCCGTCGGCGCATGCCTCGGTCGCTCTCTTTTTCACTGGATGTCTCTCTCTCTCTCGTCTTCATAGATTACGACCCATTATTACACGTTGCAGAACGCAGGGATGAGATGGCCTACAGTAGTACGACTCAATTCCACTAGTAATCGTCTTCATCCCACGGATCCCTGAATTTTTGCCAACTCCACACACATACTTCTTAAGTAGCTTTCTAGGACTAGAATGGTCACTTTCTATTAATATCCCGTATATGGCAGCAACCTCCCATGTGGCTGGAGCTGGGGGTTCGCTTTGCCTTATCGCTGAGAATGTAACTCTTCCGAGACATCTAACTAATGGAGGTGGTTGGCTCCTTTCACGCACGTCCCTCGCCGTGATCCTGCTAGAGGGCTTGTCGGTTCCTGCGACGAATTCCTCCCCTGCCATTCCCTGCGTCCTTCTCTTAGCCTGCCCATCAGCCAGTAGGATATCGTCGATGACAATCCTTCTACACTCGCCCAGAAAGTCTCGTTCGCGCACATGGGCCCGCGTGCTGTCTGAAAAGCTTCCTTCGTGTGCAAGGGGTATGTGTAAAAGCTACCGAAGAATACTGGCGATAGAAGGGACGACAATTCATGGGAGCGACCGCTCGCTGGTTGTAAGCGCCCGTCGCGACTGAATTTACTTAGCTGCCGTGGTATCCGCGGGGTAATCAAGCAGCATCGATCTTCCAGGCGTAGTCGCGGTGGACCTGATCCTCAACGGACTCGCGCATGATCCCCTCCAGGGGCTGGCCATCTACATCCTCCACCATGGCAATGTCTCCATCAGTGCCAACGGCCGGTGTGCCGTGACAGATCGCTGACGCGCGCTGGTGGACCTTCTCCCACGTCTCAAAGTCAAAAGCCCCTGAGCTCTCATTCAGCAGCAGATGGCCCTTGGACGAGAAGGCTAGGGCGTGGAGGGATTTGGCGGTGGCTGCCTGTTGGGTCGACGGCTCCCGGGTGATTTCACCTGATGCATCGACGGCCAGAACAGTCGCAGAGAAGGTCATGGATAGGGGAACAGCGGCCGATAGCAAGGCAAGAAGGGCGGTATGAAGTAGCGCGGGCAGAAGAGTCAGATACTGTTATAGATTTTAAGAGAATGAGTTAGCCGCCAAGCGCCGCCAGCTGAACAGAAGTTGTCCAAATTTCGCCAGTTCATAAAACACGTACCGGTTCTCCTCTTCCTACACTCCCACCTCCGACGATGGCTAGCGTGACCACGACACCACGCCGAGGGTAGCCCCTCTCGCGTCCCAAGATCAATCTTCCGAGGACTCCCTTGATGATTCCCTCGACGTACCGTTCGCTCACACCAGCAGGTGCAGTGCCCGGCTTAACAAATACTTCCACGGTCGCTTCTTCGGGCTTCAAGGCATCTCGGCGTCCGGGAAGCTCGACGGGGGCATTGACAGAGCCCAGGATATTGGATCCAGTGGAGGGACACAGATAGGAAGCCGAGCCATCAGCGCGAGCAAGAGGGGTCAGAGTTGCGGTTGGGCCGACCATGATGACGCGCAATGTATAGAAACAGTTGAAAAGGACTCAAACGGAAAAAGAATGAATGGATAAAGGGGGGATAGCTGGTTAGTAGTATTTCGCAACTTGATGAGCAGACTTGAGGTGATGCTCTGGACCCCAAAGAGCTTCCAAGGTCGCCTTGGAAATTTTTGGCCGCGGAGCCTGCCGAGTGCGGGCCAGCTTGTGATTGGTGGACTCTCTCCCTGCTCACTCACTTCATTCTATACAACCGAAGAACCTGAACAGTTGTACGCCTCCTTTCTATGAATGTGCATTTAAGGCTTCCATGGCCTCACTTGGAAATCCTCATCTAGTCCCATATGATTCTCGCTCTCTGCGCTTCGTATCATTTATACATTGCAGATTGAATGATCCGGTCTTCTCATCGAATCCTTGATCTCGCATAGTAACAATAACCCATCGACATCCGGCGAGTGACTTACCACCTTTACCAAACGAGGTTGACTAGGAAGTTTAAGATACGCAAAATGGGCAATTTCAGGTACTGATCCGACCTGTCATTATTTAGAACTTTACTTTTAACGAGATTTAGCAACGAGAGCGCTGTTTGATCTTTGTTTAACCCACTCCGTCAGCCGGAAGGATTGCTTCGGATGCCGACTCAAAAGCCGGAGTGTGTGCGACCGAGGGCTTTTCGCCGAAGAGTTCAAGTAGTGGCTCACTTTTGACACACTTGGAGGATGCTATCGTGGTTTCGGTGATTAACCATCGCCGAGGAATACGATATGAGGCAAGGGGCGGGATCAACGAATAACTTCCGTGTTGTATCGCTGTTACACACCGATGGCTGGCATGCTCTTTGGCAGTCTACTGTTCCGACAAGGATAGCCCGAATCGCAGGCCACGAGAGTCCAAAGTAACTTCTCTGGTATTGCCCCCGCAGTGGACCTGGGATCATCACTTCTCTGGGGCCACTGACTGTATTCATGATTATAGTATGTATTATATCCCACACGGTTTGGAAGCCGACATCATATAACCCGACCTCCCAGAGATAGATACTCCGGGTCCGACGATACCAGGGGTGGCATTTAGCATCAGCATGCCTTATTTTAAAAGCCCGCGGTGCCCACTGGGACTTGCTATGCTGGCATCTGCACCTGTAGTGGGGGCGGTCTTCCTACCAATGCTGCATGTTATTCCTCCTTGGAGTTCATCTTCTCACATCTCCTCCTCCAAGTATTGCCTCTAAGAAATCCTGCAATCATGCCCCGGATACTCTGCCTCCACGGCAAAGGCACCAGTGGTGCCATCTTCAAGTCTCAAACGTGTTGGTTCTACGACCACTCCTCAGTTTAGTCACCTCTCAGCTAACTTGGCTCGTTCTCCTTAGCTGCGCTGCGCGCTCGATTATCTGACCTACAAATCGACTTTGAATTTGTCGATGGGTTTTACTCCTCCGATCCAGCTCCAGGGATCGACCTCTTCTACCCACCCCCTTACTACTCCTTCTGGGAGCAAGACAATATCGAAGCCGTCTTCCACAGTCGCGACTGGCTCGTGAACTACCTAAGAACCAATGGCCCGTACGATGCCCTCATGATGTTTTCGCAGGGATGCGCTGTCGGATCATCCACCGCCCTTCTTCATTTGCTCGAAGAGCCAAATCAGCCCTTGCCCTTCAAAGCTGCCATCTTTATCTGTGCGGGAGTGCCACTACGCGTGTTGGAAAAGGTGGGGTATAAGATTGCCCCCGAGGTCTGGGACAAGGACATTGTGACTCGGAAGGCACTGGCAGCGCAGGCGGACTCCTCGGCGATCTTGTCGCAGGGCTCGATGCGTTGGCAGGGGGAGAAGGGGATTAGTGCGTCTGAAGCGGATATCCGGAAGGAAATTGCGCCTTCAAATGTCCAGATCGACATCCCGACGGTGCATATATACGGTGATAAGGATCCGCGATGGTCAGCTGGCATTCAGTTATCCCAAGCGTGTAATGCAACCAAGAGGAGAATGTATAATCATGGCGGAGGACACGAAGTCCCTCGTACGAACGAGGTGACTACCGGTATGGCCGAGCTGGTGAGATGGGCACTGCGTGAGGCCGCGGTGATTGATGAGTAAACAACCTGCGCCAACTGTCGACGATTCCCTCTCGATGATCACTTTTCCATATAAACTGCTATAGATTTTCTCCTAATTTATCTGAATACATTATCTTGCGTTCGGCAACATGTGGGCCAATGTACCAATGTATGGTGAGTATAGATGTTCGAACAGCAACAGGCGCATGCGAAATAATCTTGAGTAATGAACTACTCAGTCTAGCAATCAAATTATCTCATGTATACTGCATCCTTTTATTTATTTGATTTTTTTTCTTTCTTTGGAAATTCCCATTTCTTTACTACTAACACCTAATTTACCGAGCCGTTCAAGTTTCCAGAGTTCTGATCGGTCTCGTGATCATACACCCAAGTTGTCTTCGCTTGAGGATCGAAGCGGACTTGGTCTTTCTTCCACATCAGTGCAACACCGAACAGTTGGACCACGCCGCAAGCCCCCACTGCGTACATCTGACGATTATAGCCATGTGCATACGCGGTCCGGATCGCTTCCTGGACACTCATCGGCAATCCCGTGAGGTGATTCGGGTCTGCAGCAGCCTCAGCGGGCGCGAGATGCCCCTTGACATAATTGGTCAAAATGCTATTCACAATAGCGATGCCTAATGAGGCACCCAACATGCGTGCCTGGAGGGTCAAGCCCATTACAATGGCTAAAAGGATGTCAGTTGGAGTTGGTCAAAAGAGTGAAGCGTTGGAATTGGATCCCCTTATTGTATCGGACTGACCTTGTTCACGATGCCTGACCACCAAGGGAACCGCCATATACAGGGCCGCGATGGATATCCCGGTGCCCAGACCAGTCAAAACCATGTATCCATACTCGCCCGGCCAGGCGTTCACAGTGGGAGGCACGGAAGACAGCAGAAAGGCCCCCACTATCTGTAGCACGGACCCAGCTAGCGTCAGATGCACAAACGGGGTTCTCAAGCGACCGGCGAGGACGCTGCAGCAAAATGCCCCCGCAGGGGATCCCACCCCAAAGGCAAGAACTCGGAGACCCGCCTCGATGGGGGTGAAGTTATTGACCGTTTGAAATCTCTGGGGCAACTCGATGTATAGTATAGTGATTGCAGGCCCGGTTGAGAAGAAGCCACTGCGCGACCGTCAGAGCTCCCATGTCCATGTTTAGCGAACTACGTACTACTAGATGACCATTATGGGGCGGAGAGGGCAAGTATCCACTAACATGATGATTCCCAACACCACCCTGCTTTTGAACAACCGCCATGGGAGCATTGGCTCTATGCGCACGTGCTTCCGGCTACTGAGGATCCACTCCCACGCCAGAAAGGCCGCCAGAAGGACACCCGAACCGGTTAAACACCCGATAATGATCCCCGATGACCAGGCATAGCGAACGTTGGCTTCCTCCAAGGCGGCCACTAGCAGCAGGGAAAATCCCAGAAGGAGCAGATATCCTAACAGGTCCGCCTGGGTTAGATATTGATGCAAGTTGCTCTGCGCAGTACGACTTGTTAATTTTCGAGGAAAGTTCTTCGGAAAGAACAGGCAGAGCATAATCCACGCCCATCCTCCCGCAGGCACGCTAGAGACAAGGATTAGGAATAGAGCGACACAACAGGAAGGAGTCTAGTCTGCTATGATCTTACTTGAAGAGAAAAACCCAGCGCCACGAGCTGGAGCTGCTAATGCCACCTCCGATCAGCGATCCTAAGATAAGGGCGAATGTCAGCACGCAGGACCCCACGGCATTGGCAACCTCAAATCTGTTCGGAGGCACAATGCGCAGTAGGGTATATAGTCCAAGCGCGAAAAGTCCGGAGCCACCGATCCCTTGAAAAGTGCGGCAGATAATCCTTTCGTTTTGTCAGCAACAAGGTTCGATGCCCTCAAATCAGGATCCCCGAAGCCGGCTTACAGTTGGTCGATGGTTTGGGCGGCACCACAGCCCCCGGAAAAAGCAATGAATAGGAGCAGACTGCTCAACAAGGTTGGCTTGAGACCAAAAGCAAGCGCACATTTAGACCAAGGCGCGAGGAATCCGGTGTAGGTTAGAAGGTATGATGTGATGACCCAACTGCTTTGATCGCCTCCTTCAAGGTGTTCGCTGATGGTGACAAGCGATGTGCTGATGACTGTAATCTCAGCGGTGGCTAAGAAGAGACCCAGCCCGACACTAGTTATCGCGCGATAAGCTGCATTAGGATGCATTCTACCAATCCTGGTCGGAGAAATGATTGCGTTCGCTTACCTGGCCCCTACAATCCATAGTCGAAGCCCGTGCAAATATCCCGGTCGGGATATCTGACTCTGAGGCTCAACTACCGAATGGTTGAGATTGTTTTTGTGAGTAGCTTCGGGCCTTGACAATAATGGCTCTGGGGTCACTGCTGGTAGATCTATCAACTCGGTTCTCGAGCCATGCAACTCAAAACTGCCCATGGTTCGGAGTTCGGAGTGAAGTGAGCCCCACTCAATCGACTAGAGAGACGCCAAAACTGATCTGTCTTGATGCGATCAATAGTGGATGTGTGACTTATCGTCAGATGCGTTTGTAACCTTCGGCCCCAATTCAATTAATCTTCGAACCTCGTCGATGAAGGGCTAGAGGAGATCCGCAGGACTGGCTTTCTTTTCTGGGAATTTCATACGGAAAAGAACATCTTCGTAGCTATGTTGATCGAGTTCAGCCACCAATGCAATACGCAATACTTGGCTGCTCCCCAGCCGGCGGAACTACGGGGTATGTGGCTAATCAAGAAACTAAAAGGTAGTTGAGTGGTGTGTGGAACAAACGCGAAGAACCATGAAGGGTTGCTTTGTCAAATGTTATGAACTCCTACATTCCCGTCCCCATCGATTAACTATATAGTGTGGAGATCAGCATAGCGCTGCCCCCTTGGGGTGCATCAATAAGTGGATGCCGTCTCAACTGCCCTGCGAATAATATTGACAGCTTGGGTCACATCTTCCATTGACCCTCCGCCGGGAACTTCGTGCCCTCGTCCGTGAACATACACCCATCTCACCTCAGCCTTGCAGACACTATTTGACGTGGCTACCCGGCTGGCTGGCTCGTCTAGTGAGCCCCAAATGTGGGCCGTTGGAATTGGAACAATGCCTTTGGTAGCTTCAAGATCAACAGTCATCACACGACCTTTTTGAAGAGCTTCGTAATCAAGAGGGGGATGGGTGATCGAAAGGATAATTGCAAACTTGAATGGCATCTCAGCCCGAGGATCCTGCTTGGCAAGATGAATCAGGTACGTGAGGATCATCGTGCCTGCTTGGCTGAATGCGATGACCCCATCATAGGGCCCCTCTTCAAGAAGGTACTCTTCCAAATAGTGATAAGCCGCAAACCCAGTTTGGGGGTTGTGCTCATCGAAGTAGGCATACACTGGTTCATCCTTCCAAGCCACCACATCAATACCTGTACCTCCTGCATTTAGCCGACTAGTTCGCGAGGGGTCTGTTCTCCGGCTACGGTACCTGGCTGCATCTTGGAAGGAACGGTTCCTTCAACAAAATCATAGATGTGATTATCGCCCAGTTCATACCGAATGGCAGCCGTCTGGATCTCGAATATCTTTGATGAAGAAGGGTATCGATTAGTCCAAAAGATCGCATGAAAATGATATCGCTATCTAGGGCCAGTACTCACTCGAGAATTGGTACCCGCCCCATGTAGACTATCGAGAGGTCAGCATCAAAGAACTAATGTTGACAGCAGGTTCCACAGCAACATTACCAGAGAATGCGCATTCTGGATGGTCTAAGACAATGTAAATTATTGTTGAGAGTCCCTACCTTCAGCAACTGGACTGGCACATCCATTTATCCCCGCGGGTTTGGGTGTCTGGCATTCTACGGAGGGTTACACACATTCCTCTGTGAGCAAGATTGCAGACTAACACTTAGCTGCATGAACCTAGTACTCCTATCATATTTTAGGACTTGACCAGTTCCAATAATGTTCCACCAACATATTGCTTTTGATAAATAGTCTTCAGGCTATGCAGGAATGCACGGCCATTTGTCAGACCTCACGGGCACACTGACAGACAGGCTTCCGGCCAAGAGCATCGATGGCGGGGCTGATAACTTCGCCTTGAGAGCTAAATAGTCAATAGCCATCTTCTGTCCTTGCTCATGGCGGCGATCTGTGATATCAATCGGGAAATGGCTGTTTGAGTAGGTAAACCCCGAGCTTAAGCATCTAAAGCTTACTAAATAATTTCCTCTTAAAAAGCCTACCTTATCAGGCACTCCGTTGCTCAAACCTAGTCATACCCTATTGCATTAGACATGCCCTGTCGGCTGTTGTCCATCTAGACGACTTTATTAGATCGTTATCATGGTGTCCTTTTCAGAAAACAGAGTCCACGATGCCCCCGGGGGGAACATCCTCGCTCCTCTAGCCGTTGTTGGAATGTCGTTGAAATTTCCACAAGATGCGACATCCCCGGAAGCATTTTGGAATATGCTGGTTGAAGGCCGATGTGTCTCGACAGAGTTTCCGACCAATAGAATGAATATCGACGCCCATCACGACGCTGAACGAGGCCGACTCCACAGCGTCACATGCCGAGGAGCACACTTCATGAAAGAGGACCTTGGTCTTTTTGACGCACCCTTCTTTGGGATCAATGATGCCGATGCGAAGGCTATGGATCCTCAACAGCGCCTTGCGTTAGAGACAGTTTACCGTGCGCTGGAGAATGCCGGGCTTCCGATCGAGCAGGTTGCATGCTCCAAGACCAGCGTCTTCGCGGGCTCCTTTTGTAGCGATTACCATATGCTGCAGATTAAAGATCCGCTCAACGTGCCTAAGAATGCCACTGCTGGAACTGGTCGGAATATGATTTCGAATCGCATCAGTTGGTTTTACGACTTCTTAGGTCCTAGCGCGACCGTTGATACCGCCTGCTCAAGCAGTCTAATGGCGGTGGATCTCGCCTGTCAATCTATATGGGGCGGTGATGCTGCAATGGTTCTTTAGTCCCTCTTCCTCCTGATTGTTAGTCTAGTATGGAATTGCTAATCTGGGATCAATAGGGCATCGCCATTGGCTGTAATATAATCCTGGCTCCAGAGATGACCATTGGCCTAGACAATCTGGGGCTGTTATCGAGAGATAGCCACTCTTATAGCTTCGATAAGAGAGCCAATGGATATGCCAGAGGAGAAGGTGTCGGTGCTGTGGTCATCAAGCGGCTTGATGACGCTATAGCCGATGGAGACACCGTGAGGGCAGTCATTCGATCGTCCAGCTCGAATCAGGATGGGAAGACGCCTGGAATTCTGCAGCCGAGCAAGGACGCGCAGGTTCGTTTGATCCGGGATACCTATCAAAAGGCTGGTCTGGACATGGGGGTCACTAGATATTTTGAAGCACATGGAACGGGTAAGAACACACCCCACCCAACGTAGAAGCAAACCAGCTGTTTAACGTCTGCCAGGAACACCCATCGGAGACCCGATCGAGGCTCGAGCTATTGGTACGGCATTTCGCTCATATCGATCAGAGGAAACGCCCCTATATGTGTATGTACCGGAGCTGAGAACAACATGAAGGTGGCTAATTGGATTATAGTGGTTCTGTGAAATCCAACATCGGCCATTTGGAAGGGGCCAGCGGGATTGCTGGTTTTATAAAAGCAGTCCTTGTGTTAGAGAAGGGTGTTATTCCACCGAATAGCAGCAATCTACAGAACACAAACCCGCAGATTGATGAAGATTATCTGAGGCTGAATGTAAGGGTACCAACGTCTATAAACGCTTTGATGCTAATGGCCACGGTAGATAGTAAAAAGCGCCATTGTCTGGCCTACTACTGGACTACGACGAGCATCCGTGAGCTCATTCGGCTTTGGTGGTGCTAATAGCCATATTGTGCTTGACGATGCTTACAATTCCCTCCGACTGAGTGGCTCCGAGAGTGTTGGCCACCAGACTGTGATAGTGCCTGCACTGGGGCACACCAATGGTATACCACAATTAAATGGTCACCACAGTACTAATGGTGTAGACACGTTCAACGACTCCACAATTGCCTGCAAAACAGTTCCGAAGCTTCTAGTCTGGTCAGCCGCAGACCAAGCAGGCATAAAACGTCTTGCAGAGAGCTGGAGCACGTATCTCGCAGATTTATCAGTTGAGGAGCCAGAAGAGTACCTGGGGGATTTAGCACATACCTTATGTGGCAGGCGAAGCCACTGGGCCTGGAGGTCGTTCGTTGTTGCTAAACCAGGGGTACTTCTACAAGATCTGACCAACCAGTTTTCCCTCGCTACCCAAAGCGTTGATTCGCCACACCTTGCATTTGTCTTCACTGGCGTAAGGATCCTCGAGAAAATGACTCTATAGCATGCTGACATTGAACAGCAAGGCGCTCAATGGTACGCAATGGGCCGGGAGCTTATAGGTCATTATGAAGTTTTCTCAAGGACCCTCACCGAATTAGGCGCGTATCTCAAAGAGCTTGGATGTTCTTGGGATATTTTGGGTGAGTAGACTGACTATATACATTGCATCTCTCTGACTTTTATGTGATAGAGGAACTACAGAAACCAGGGCTGGATTCGAATGTGAATGACCCATCTTATGGCCAGCCACTTTGCACGGCACTACAAATTGCATTGGTAGATCTTCTTGAAAGCTGGAGTATTTCGCCTGCTGCAGTGGTTGGCCATTCCTCTGGTGAGATTGCCGCGGCGTAAGTCCTCCCTAGTGCTTTAACGCTCATTACATCTTACTAAGCCTTCTTGCAACTACAGATACTCTTCCGGGGCGTTAACGAAGTGGTCTGCGCTAAAGATTGCATACTTCAGAGGGTCTCTAGCAGGGGACTTAGGAAGATCTAGCAGCATGAAAGGAGCTATGCTTGCTGTAAGCCTGTCTAAGGAGAATGCGCAGAAGTACCTGCACACACTGGAGACCCAGTTTGATAGTCCGGAAGTTGTTATCGCTTGCGTCAATAGTCCTCAGAGTGTCACATTATCCGGGAAACTGGAGCAGATTGACGCACTGCATGGCCTGCTAAATCGGGACGGCGTATTTTCTCGCAAGCTGGCGGTCAACGTTGCTTACCACTCGTTCCAGATGCGGGAGATTTCTGATGCATATTTCACTGCCCTCGGGGGCCTGGAGGCACCGTGCAATAGAAAGCGAAGACGGCCTTTTATGGTGTCCTCCGTCACTGGGACATTGATTTCAAGCGAGCGGCTAGTGGAACCGAAGTATTGGGTCGACAACATGGTCTCACCAGTGCTGTTCCACAATGCAGTAAGCTATCTATGCTCCCAATCTGGCAAGACGTACAAGAAAATCGATGGAAGTCACCGCCATGCTGTCAAGATTGATCACCTTCTAGAAATTGGCCCACATTGTGCACTGCAAGGGCCGTGTCGGGATATTGTCAGTGTCTTGGGAAAGAGCGACAAAGTTTCATATGTTCCTTTCCTGGTACGCAACCGCTCCGCTCTGGAATGCGCCATGGAAGGTGCAGGCCGTCTTCACTGCAGCGGATATCCAATCAAATTGTCGTCGGTCAATGAAGACGGCGAGGCAAAGGCTGAACGACGACCCCGTGTGCTACTGGATCTGCCTGAATATCCCTTTAATCACTCTACATCTTACTGGCATGAAAGCCGATTGAGCGAAGGATACAGATTCCGTCGATATGGCTACTTGGAACTTCTCGGTACTCCAGAGCAAAGCGGTAATCCAACGGAGGCTAGCTGGAGGAATATCATCCGCGTCTCCGATATCCCCTGGGTGCAAGATCATAAGATCAATAGCACTATTCTATACCCAGGTGCCGGTATGCTGGTTATGGCAATCGAAGCCATCAAGCAACTGGCTGATCCGGACCGACTCCTTACTGGATTCAATATACGGGATGCTGTATTCTCTACTGCCCTTCAGATTCCTACGCACGCGGAAGGAATAGAAGTCAATGTTCATCTGAAACGCGCGAAGGAGGGGAGGTCTGACGCCACCGGATGGTTTGAATGGCGCATATATGCATACGACAATGGAAACTGGGTTGAAAACAGCACAGGGTCCATCCAAGCTCTATATGACAGCCAAAATACAGGTCTAGATGCTAATATTCGAGAAGAGAGGGCATGGGAAACCCATCTTCTTGAGGCATATAACAGTGCAGTCCGCTCATGTACGTCGGCCTTTGACCCGAAGACTTTCTACAGGAATCTCAATAGCTGTGGATATCAGTATGGGCCTGAATTTGCCGCAATACAAAGTATTGGTTACAGTGAATCGGACTGCAAAGCGCTCGTCACAGACATCCGGACATTCCACCCTACTGGGGTTTGCCTGGCTCATACTATACACCCTACAACCCTTGACGCGATCATTCAGATGGCAGCCGGGCTGGAATCAAACATGGGCCAGAATGTGACCAATGTGGCTGTACCTGTACGAATTGACCGGCTCTGGCTGTCTAACACAGGTGACCTCAGTCGTCCAAAGGCAGATGCTATCAAGGCATATGCAGCTTGCAGTCAATCTGCCGTAGGGTATAAAAGTTACTCAATGACAGCAGTGGACAGGGAAGTCTCTAGAGCACTTCTGAATCTTGAAGGCTTGAAAGTGACAGCCATTGCCAGCGCGGAAATGAGCCCTGTCTCAGATCAATTCATGACAGACAACCTATGTCACTATATAGCACATAAACCTGACATTGACCTGTTGACATCCGAAGAGGCCCAGGCGCTTTACGGGGCTCACAACTCACAGGTCCTAGAGCCGGTGGAGCACTTTACTGAGCTTGACTTTCTTGCGGCAGCTTCCGTCAGCAGGTATGCAGCCTCTTTCCGCGAAGAGGAAAGACAGGATTTGCCGTCCCACTTGAACAAATACATCGACTGGGCCCTGGAGGTCAAGGCAAGCCTTGATAGTGGCTTATCCGAATTCAGCACCAAGGAATGGATGGATCGCCTGGGCGATGATGACTATGTCAACAAGCTACACAGGCGAGTTGGGAGTGGCAGTAAAAGGGGACAGCTAACAAGTACCGTATGCCGAAATCTGGCAGGCTTCGTGAAAGACCCACTTACGAATCTGTTCGGCAACAATCTGCTCGCCGATGTATATCATGAAATGGTAAGCTATTCCTAGAACATGTGGATTTACAATACTAACACGTTCGCATGTAGCTAAACGCGCAGTCGATCAAACCACGGCTGGACATGGTCATTAGCGCACTGGGGCACAAAAACCCACGGATGAAAATTCTAGAAGTGGGAGCTGGCACTGGAGCCATGACTGACTTCTGCATTAGGGCGCTGAGCATGGACTCTTCAACAGACTCAAGTCTGCGCCGTTATGGCCAGTGGGACTTTACTGATATTTCGAGCTCCTTTTTCCCAGGGGCACAAGAAGTCTTTGCGGCAGAAGGCCAGCGTATGCGATTCAAGGTTTTGGATATTGAAAAGGACCCTGAGATACAGGGGTTTGAGTGTGGCACTTACGATATGGTCGTAGCCTTTATGGTAAGATAGAGCATGCACAGGTATGGGTTCTGGGTTAACGTTCCTAGGTGATACATGCCACGAAAGACTTGGCTGTAAGCCTACGCAATGTGCGGAAGCTATTGAAAGAGTAAGTCACTCAACTTCGGCATGAGAGATAAATATCTGCTAATTCGAGACTAGGGGTGGAAAGCTTCTACTGTTCGAAATCACCAACTTTCATCCTCTCAGGGTCAATCTTATCTTTGGTCTGCTTGACGGATGGTGGAGAAGTATGTCACTTTGTACCTGCGTGCTTACTCTCACTGACCCTAGTAGGCACGGAACAGTACCGTCAGACGGGCCCCTGCATCAGTGCCGAGAAGTGGGGAGAGCTCTTGACAGAGACAGGCTTCTCAGGGTGCGATCTCGTGGTTGAGGATTACGAAGCCAATGTTTGCCGTGAAGGAAGCATGATTGTGTCGACAGCCGTCGCGCCAAAGCCCGTCGAAATCACAGCAGTGAACATAATCATAAAGCTGGAAGACCAAACACAGGTTGATCTGGCTGCGGCAATATCTGAGCGGCTGCGGCAACTTGGTATCTCGAAGATCACTCTGACATCGTTGAATGACATCTTACAGCGGAAGTTAGCGACAGACTTGTTGGACATCAGCCTTCTGGAAACGACAACCCCTTTCATATGCGACATGGTTAGTTCAGAATATGAAAGCTTGCAAGCATTGGTAGCATCTACCAAGAGCCTCATCTGGGTTGGAGAGGGCGGAGGGCGGCAGCCTCATCCCAAGTATCGACTGGTGGACGGGCTCTTCAGGGTCCTTAGTGCAGAGATGTATCGGGCTCGACTGACAAACCTCAGTCTGGAGTGTCACTCATCGAGGGAGCACAAAGCCGCGCAGATTTGCAAGCTAGTTGTCTCTGCCATTGGTGATATGGATAGGAGTGCAGACACGGAATATACGGAAATCGATGGGGTACTTCAAGTCAGTCGCCTGGTCGATGCGAGGCCTCTGTCCCAAAGGATTGTCAGAAAGGCTCGTCCTCAGCAGGAGGGACTGTTACCATATGGTTCCGGGCCATCAGTGAGACTGAACATAGGATCGCCCGGTCTCCTGAACACGCTGCATTTCGTTGAGGACAAAAACCTGCAAAAGCCACTTGGTCCAAAAGACATACAAATCAAGGTCAAAGCCGTGGGTCTGAATTTTCGCGACGTGCTTGTCGCACTGGGAAGGTTGGAGAGTGATACCCTCGGGGCAGAATTTGCCGGCGAAGTTGTCCAGGTTGGCGATCAATGCCAGAAGTTTCAGCCCGGCGACAGAGTTGTCGCCTTCCATGCCAGTCGCTATGCTAACTATGTGACTGTGCGAGAGGATATGCCGGTGGTTAAGATCAGGGATGAGAAGATGCCATATACAACGGCTGCCGCTATCCCAGTAGCTTATGCAACGGCGTGGATAACTCTTTCCAAGATAGCAAGGCTCGAAGCAGGGGAATCTATACTAATTCACTCTGGGGCCGGTGGTACAGGACAGGCTGCTATACAGGTAGCTCAATACCTAGGAGCGACAGTATTCGCGACGGTGTCGACCGAAGAGAAGAGGCAGCTCCTGATGGACCACTATAACATTCCAACGGAGCATATTTTCTCCAGTCGAAACACACTATTTGCCAAGGGTATCCGACGTCTCACTGCTAACAGAGGCGTAGACGTTGTTCTCAATTCGCTATCTGGTGACGGGCTTATTGCTTCGTGGGAATGCATTGCACCGTACGGTCGGTTTTTGGAGATTGGAAAGAACGATATCCTGTCCAACTCCAAGCTACCAATGCTACACTTTGAGCGAAACGTGAGCTTCACGGCTATCGACCTTGCTGAAATGGCAATGGACAGACCGCATATAATCAGGGCAGCTTTGGAGAAAGTCTTCTCCCTACTGGAAGAAGGCCAGATAAACCTTGTTCATCCTTTGCAGGTGCGAGGTATCGCAGATATCGAACAAGCATTCAGGCAGATGCAGACTGGAAAGAACTCAGGCAAGACTGTGTTGGAGATGAGGGATACGGACGAAGTCATGGTAGGTTGTGCGTTTATTATAGAGCCAGCATATGCTAATAGAATCAGACGGTTCTTGACACGAAGCCTGCATATACATTCGGGCCCGATGCCACATATGTTATTGCTGGTGGCCTGGGCGGTCTCGGTAGAAGCATTGCCCGCTGGCTCGTTGAGCGAGGAGCACGTAACTTGATACTGCTCTCGCGCTCTGGCCCGGCAAGCCCCCACGCCAGGAGCTTGGTCGAGGAGCTGCACGCACGAGGTGCACGAGCCATCACTCCTGCATGTGATATCACAAACAGAGAACTACTGAAAACCGTCCTCGAGGTTTGCAGCCAGCTGATGCCTCCAATCAAGGGATGTGTGCAGGCATCAATGGTCGTTCGCGTAAGCTCTCCCAGCGAATAACCTTGCCCCAAACAACGCATGACAACTGACTCTACGCAATTACAGGCTCATAACTTCGAAAGCCTACCCTACCAATCCTGGAAAGAGACCACAACCCCCAAGGTCCAGGGATCATGGTACCTACACGAGCTTCTCCCACGAGGCATGGACTTTTTCGTTCTCATGTCCTCGGTCTCGGGCATCATGGGAGTAGTCAGTGACTCTGGCTACGCCGCAGGCAACACGTTCGAAGACGGACTAGCGAGATACCGCGTCGGATTCGGCGAAAAGGCGGTCTCACTCGATCTAGGACTCTTCCTAACAGCAGGATACCTCAAAGAGAACCCAGAAAGCCGAGAGCAATTCCTCGCCAACACGGTCCTTGACGAAATACAAGAATCCCATCTACACGCCCTCCTAGACACCTACTGCGACCCCGATCAGGACCCAATCACCATGCAGGAAAGCCAAGTAGTCGTAGGCATCACGCCGAGCAGACAGAAACTGGAAACCCGCAAGGCCGAGTGGCTAGACCGCCCCCTCTTCCGACATTTATCTCTGACCGATAGCAGCACAGAGAGCAGAGGAAACTCCGAAGACTCCTCCAACCTGGCAGCCCTGTTTGCGGGGGCGTCATCAACAGAAGAGGCGGCGGCGATCGCCATGCGCGCAACACGGGAGAAGCTCTCCATTATGATGTCGACGCCAGTGGACGAGATCGACACGGACAAGCCCATTCACCAATACGGAGTGGACTCGCTGGCGGGGGTGGAGCTGCGGAATTGGTTTGCGCGCGAGCTGCGGGCGGACCTGGCCATGTTTGACATTCTGGGTGGTGCGAGTCTTGCATCGGTGGTAACGTTGGCAGTGGGGAAGAGCGAATACCGACGATGATCGGTGAGCTGTACGGAGTAGGCTTTGAGTATGCGGGGGGTAGTTGCACTGCAGGAATAGAATAGTCGGGTATTCAATTCTCGGATTTCTGCATCGGGCTTTGCCCCGACGGCAATTGACGGATATTGAGTTTCCGTTTTGGGAAGTATCCAGATCCAGTATATACATACCGCCAGTATAGAAGTAGCCCTGAATGAATCACCTATATCCCCCCAATTTGTCTTCCAATCCCACTTTCTCATATTTCAAAGACGCAGATACAGCCATCATGCCCAAACCCAGAGTCCTCCACATCGGCGACCCCATCAAATACAACCACGACATCTACGCCCGCTTCGCCTCACAATTCGAAATCATCCGCCCCAGCACCGAAGAACGCGCCCGCGATGCCTTCAAACAAGCCCTAAAAGAGCGCCGCTGGGGCGACTTCGACGCCATCTTCCGCCCCTTCTGGAACACCGGCGGCGAAATGGGCCGCTGGGACGAGGAACTGATCTCGTTGCTGCCCTCATCGGTGAAGATCGTTGCTTCCGCGGGTGCAGGCTACGATTGGGTGGATGTAGATGTTTTTGCTAGATATGGTATACCCCCATCCATACCCTTATCCCTTATGCCCCAGCATCTACATATACTAATACAAATTCGATAATGATACAGGAATCCTCTACTGCAACGGCGCCGCGGCATCCTCCGAATCCGTCGCGGACATGGCCCTCCTCCTCATCCTGAGCGTATTCCGCAACCTCCGGTGGTCCCATTCCGCAGCCCACAGCATCAACTCGACCCAATTCCTCGACGCGCACACAAACTCGCCCCTAACGGCACGGAACCCCAGCACGCAGATCCTGGGGATCATCGGGCTCGGACAAATCGGGTATACAATTGCAAGGAAAGTGCACGCCGCGTTTGGGATGAAGATTCTCTACCATGATATTATCCGGAAGGAGCAGCGGGTTGAGAAAGAAGTCGGGGCGGAGTACGTGAGCAGTCTAGAGGAGATGCTTGGAAGGGTGGATTGTGTGGTTGTGGCGACGCCGTTTGCGGGGAGGGTGTTGATGGATCGGGAGATGTTTGGGAAGATGAAGCGGGGGAGTCGGTTTGTTAATGTGGCTAGGGGGGGACTTGTGGATGAGGAGGCGTTGGTGGAGGCTGTTGAGAGTGGGAGGTTGAGTGGTGTGGGCATGGATGTTCATGCGAATGAACCGTTTGTGCATCCTAGGTTGGCGGGCAATTCGAGGGTTATGATGATGAGTCATAATGCCGGGGGGACGGTGGATACGCATGTTGGGTTTGAGAGGTTGGCGATGGAGAATATTGAGGGGTTTTTGGTTAGGGGGAGGGCGTTGACCCCTGTTAATGCGCATTTGATTAGGGGGAGTAAGTTGTGATGTGATGGGGTTAGGGTTTGTACTTTGTATGGGGATGGTATGTTAGTGGTTAAAATTGGATTGGGATATATTATGTGTATCAGTCTCGGGTACAGTAGTTAAAAAGAAACCGGAATATTGAAATATCAGACTTGGTGAAGGGTAAGCAAACACAAAAGTCAGTAAGTTAACTACCATGAAAATGTCTCCTCGTAAAAGTCCACCTTCTTATTCCCTTGCTTCGCCCTCACTACCTGACGCACATCGTCGCCCATCTCGCCAGGCCCGCAAACACTCACAGCCATTGCGCCTACCTGGTGCGCCATCTCGACATCCAGAGTGTCCCTGAAGGATGGCCTGCCGGTGTTGATACTTATTGCCACTCCTGTCGGGGCGGAAATGGCCCATGGCGACTCCGGGGAGAAATCTTCGGGGCTGCTGTCTCGATTGCTGAGGTAGATCTGGATCGACAGGGCGAGCTCGGGGAATTCAAAGTAGGACTCCTGTTTTGGCACGTTCGGCCCTTGCAGGGCTGGGTGGCTGAATAGGGATACCATCCAGGGCTGAATCCAGGACAAGTGGTCTAACAAGGGGTAAGTCAAGGATGCATGAACGGAGTGTTTCGGGTCGACTCACCTAAGCTGCGGACAACCCAGACGAGAGTCACTCGTCGGACAGCGGTCGACCGGGATGCGAAACCGTTCACGATTTCAAGAAGGTAGGCGATTGGGTGCGTGATGCCAATGCCTCCCGCGACAAGAAGCACCGAGCCATATGAATCAAGTGACTCCAGGCCACCTGCTTCTGTTAGATACTGTCGGAGCTATGTATGGGAAGGCTTACCGTATGGCCCTTCTGCAAGGGTGATCGCATTGAATGTCCGCTCGGGCGAGTTGCCCGCCTTTCGTACCAGCTTACTAGTGAGTCCATCGCGTCCTTTGACCAGGAAAGATACCGTCGTCTCCTGCGACCCTCCTACTGCACGATCGAGGGAGTCGTTGGAGGAGTTGGTGGCATCCTTATCAATCACACTTGTTCCGTCTTTCGATGTCCAGGCTACCGAGAATGGATGGGAAGTCCACAAACCCACTGATGGCATATACAGGTACGCATATTGGCCAGCTTTGAACCTCCATGGCCGTGCCACGGTGACATTCACGCGCGCCACATCGCCAGGGAGCATCTCCACGGTAGCCTTGGAGCATCGCGTGCCAATATTGCGCCAGATAACACATGCCAGTCGGATTGCTCTCTGCATACTATTAGCCATACTCAATGAAATTTGACACGCGGAATGGACTGTCTCTCATCCCTCTGAAGGGACAGAATGCTTACATCGAAGCCCCAGAGGACCACTGTAACCAGCATGGCATATTGATGCGACATGCCTTCCAGGTGGTACCATAAGCCCACGAATGCCATAATGGCTAAGGCGATATGGGAGTGAAGGAATGCTTCATAGAATGCATGTCTGACTGGCGACAAGGACTGGAATAGAATCGTTGTGAACGCAAAGATGGCCTGCATTCATCGGATTTATCAGCGATCGGCCTCAGCCTATTGCAGCGATAAAACATACAACCAAACCGCAGATGAAGAACTTAGTATTCCAGATGAGAAGTGTGGCCGCGGCCAAGCCGCCCTCTGTCGACCGTCAGTTTTCTCTTCGCCCAATCGCACAACCATACTTACCTTCGAACACTTTCATCCTAACAGCAGCAATCATATGGACAAGCGCCGAAAAAATGATGGTTCGTCCAACCCAACGGTGCATGAGATTGAAACAATCGAACTTGATGCCCAGAAGAGGTACCAAAGGGTTATTGCGGCCTGCTGCCAAAACCAGCCCGGGCAGGTTCAGCACCGCCATACTACCTGCCGAATATTGAAACTCGAAAATCACTTCGTCCCAGTCTTTCCACCAGTCAACCATGACAAAGAAGAAGACAATGTTGATTGCTATGTAGACGGCTAGCAGAGCTGCTTCAAACCGCAGCGGAAGGATGCCCATGTGGATGTTGTTGCCGAGTTTCAAGTAGCGACTATGGCGTACGGATAGAAGTGGCGCATGGAATACATGCTTGTATAGACTTGTCGAGATGGTGCTCCTTCGTTTAAATCGACCCTGTTTATCGGTTCGTAGAATTTCGCGTAAACGCCGGCGATGGTAAAGTCGTATTAGCGTACGGCCAACAAACAAAACGAACAATGCTCCAGCGAGAATGAACATAGGTATGGCCAACGCTACATTCATCGGCGGATGGTAATCTATCTGTCGGGCCTCCCCGGGCTGTAGATGATCTACCCCCATGATGTCTTTGCCTTGAGGCTACCTGCGTAGGCGTAAAGTGTGGGGCTGGGTTCAGTGTTGATATCTATGTCGAGTCAACGGAGGCGCACGTATCCAAAAAGTGAAATTGAAAGAAACAAAGACACCAACAGGGTATTCTCCGGCTACATATATGACAAGTCGGGCTACTATGCATATGGTTCCGATCGTGGCGCCCCGAAGCGACTCCCGAGTATCTCTTCGATGCCGTCATGTAACCGGATCGGGGCTTCAGAGGCCATTTTGGATTGGACCGGCAGATCTCCAGTGTGTCGTGCTCTCAGGATATTGGCGCATCGAGACACTACATCTCAGCTTCCACATGTATCAGACGATTGCAACGTAGAAGGGTGGGGGGCTGGGAGGGTCCGCGGAAGCGTGCCTGGAAATTATCTACCTCTGGGAAACAGGCACCAGAGCTCCTCTAGCTAGCATGGCAAGCTTCGATCTCGAGTATAATGGCCAAGGAAAAGCGGGTCTTTCAGATTTGGCTTCCGTTAAGCTTTCTTCAGCGTGTGGCCAATCAATTGTTGGTCTTCCGTGCAATGGAATGGCACCGCCGGAAACGGAAAGAAGGTGGATGTAGCTGCAGCGTCCACAAACCCGGATAGTCTCCAATCATCTTCCTGTGGAGAGGAGATTGTTGCATTCGCCCGTCTTTTTAACTGGTTTACAAATACATGACTTGGTGGTGATGTAAGCTTCTGTCGTGGGTGGTGTTGGATCCCAGCCTAAAATGAGAGTTGAGCAACTCAATTGATGTACCGAGTAGGGTATTCAGCAATACGTCTACTCGCGTAACTAACAGAGAGTCTGTTGTCGAATGCATCTAAAACACATCTGCATGCTGAGTGGCTGGCCATGCTTGACAGAGACATGTTCAATTCCATCCTTCCCATATAGGAGGCAGTCAACAGAGCTGACGTCATGGACTGGCTGGATCCCCGTGGAGAGCACGATTGACAAGGAGGGACGGAAATCTATGATCGCTTGAATGCCTGGGGAACCCGAGATAATGGTTGCATCCCGACCGATAACCGTCGGGCATTGAAGCTCGACCTGGGCCGGTTGCAACGGCGCAAGCTTGGGACTGTCTCACTCACTCAGGGCTCCCGCCGAAAGTACCTGATTAGCTCATCACGGAGGCTTGTCGAGGCCCCTATCGACCATTCCAATGCGACCATATTTTCCACCATGCCATGAGATTTTTTGTTCTAGCCAGGTCAACTGTCACCTGCCGTGAATTACAGCCAACATCAGGCCCTCGGCCACTTTCAGGCAACATGAGACGTCATGAGGTGAAGACGCGGCGCAATGCAGTCGTGAGATGCATCTTTGGCATATTGACAGACTGCCTGTCTGAACCTTGACAGTGAAAGTTTGCTAGCTTGAATGCCGGCAAGCTTAATGTGCTTACAAGACTGGGTCAGGCACGGGACCAGAGGGTGCACACCGCGTGGTCGGGGGACTGCCAAAGTCTATTCCACATGCTGAGAGTTTTGGCCGAAAGCAAAAATGATCCTGGTCGAGCCTGAGACATAGCCAGGGGTAAGTAACGGGCCTGAGACATGGCCAAGGAGAAACCCGACAACATGAGACATCTGCTACAGGAACCGCGACACAACTGAGACAGGCACCATCTTCAGTCATGGATACGCATGCATACATGAATGATGACTGAAGCAAAGCATGCGCTTAAGGAGAGGTTTCAGCCCCGGGCCACATTCGATACGATTAACGCAAGACATTATTATAAATTACAGATAGATGAGGATGAAAGGTCTCAAACATCTATTTCCGTTCCATTCCGGAAATTGAGGGAGGATAATTGAACAGACCAGTGTCACAATCCAGTAACGCCTTTGACCGGGCAACAAGAAATGGGGTCGGGTGCAAATCAGCGATTGCGCGGCCCAGTCACACACAATAATAAATCGCCTTTGAAGTAAAGCAAGATGGAAAAATACACGTGTAAGGAAGACGATTCCGTCTTAGTCATATCATTAATGGGAACGTAACCGTGATATCTCTGAAAGTTTGTATCCGGGTGGGGAAATTTGTCACGAGATTATGGAACTGCTGGGCTCCAGGCGGCAGTCACTGTCATCGAGACCAGAAGCGCCAAAAGTCGAAAAATCCGTCTTGTTTTCTTCTCTATTTTGATTGGTCTAATCGACGAGTGCTCACGACCTTCTTGGGTACTTTTTCTTCTTTTTGTCTTCCAGTTGTTTCGACTTGATCTTCTCCTCCTGAATGCAAGAGTAGTCAGTCACGTCGACCCCAGCACTATGGCATAGCGAGGTGCATTCGGTTTCAATGACCTTGACAAGCTGAGAAGTGAAACCGTAGAAGGCCGGATTGTATGCATTCCGCGCCCAGTACATGAGTTCGGATGCCACACGACCCAAATTCGGAATGGATTGCGGCAAAATCTCGGGCTTCTGCGACACACGTGGCTTGTCATTCTCCTCTTCATCAGAGGAAAGCGAAGACGACGGGGTGGAACTGCGCGAGGCGGGAGAAGATGGCGAAGAGGACTCGGAGGACGACAGATAGTCGGTGTCAGAGGCTAAGACATGGAGCAGATGGTACACAGACGCGAACCCGAGAAGCGTCAGATCCACCGGGTCAAGTGGCAACTGATTGAACCATGTGACAGCTCGTTGGATAGTGAAGGATGCCGGTAGAGAAG